TTTAACCTGAATTTCTAACATAATAGACTCTATGGTACTCAGTTTGTAAGTGCGAGCTGTCCGTAGGTTGGACGTTCTTAACCTGGGGACTGCCTGAGTTGTCCTCTTCTTTCATACAGTGGTACACTATAATGCAGAAGATGACTAAAAAGGTCATCTTAAGGTTCAAACCAGCAGTACACGGTATGCCAAAACATACCTCAACCCTGCTGGAGAAAAGATGTAATCATTTTAATAATCCTAATTCCTGTGTTTTCATTCCAATTGCGTCAAATAATATGATTTCATTTTCTGCTATTTAAACTCTTATTGTCCAGTTTCAGTAACTCTTTGTTGTTCTGTAATATTCAGCTATTATGAAATCTGCTAAATATCTATTAAATATTTACGGCTATATGTCTGTGGAGTGCACGTTGTCCTGGGGTTTCTTCCAGGTTCTCCAGATCTTCCCCACGGTCCAAAAACATGAATTAAAGTTGCCAAATTGCCCTTAGGTATGGATATGTGTGTGTATATACAGTATGGGTGAATGATGTGTGAGTGTGCCCTGAGATGGGTTGGCACCCCGTCCTGCCTTGTGCCCATTGATTCTGGGTTAGACTCCAGACCCCTGGACCCTGAATAGGACAAATGGTATGGAAGATGAATGAATCCATTAAATCAAACACGGTACACTAACTCAGCTGAGCACTAGTGCTCGAATGCATTTCACAGTCCCAATTGAAGCGTAGACCGCATACTGGCATCTGAAACAGCTTCAACACAACACTAATAACAATAGATATTTGAAAGTTTGTACAATGCCTGTACTTCCGTTACCTCCTCCTTTATCTGTTGTCAGCTTCCTTACAGTCTGCTTTCTTTTCCTCTCTATACAATGTGCTGCAACAGAATAAGAGTGAATATTTATTAAGAATGCCAAATAAAACAGGGAAAATTTAACATACCAACTGACAGTTCTGACAAACTGCCAACACATTCTTGGGGCAGTATTTTTTTTTAACAAAATGAATGATTGGTAGTTAGTGAAAATGTGGGCCAAGAATTTTATAATTAATAATTAATTTTATTTAATAAATTATTCCCACCATTTGTTATTTTTAACTTTGATGAAAAGCACAACTTTCTGCAGCTATGTCATTCTAAATTCTATCTCATTCTTTCAAGATCCTGGAGAAAATGTGAAACTTACATTTATTAATTTACCCAGAGACCCTATTCAGAATAACCAATTAGAAGCGTGACAGTTGGATGGATTTATTTAGTTAGTTATAAGCAGATGTTTATGTCCAAAGTGATGGACAGCTGAGGCTGATCATCACAAGCATGCAGCTGGTAGGGAGACACTTTAGGTACAAGTAAATGGTTAATAAGAAGTGCCAAGTGAATCAACTTCAATGAATATCCAGGGAAGGTCAGTGGTCCAGGTTAGGTCAGGTGTTCCCAGATGAAACAGGTCTTCAGATGTTATCAACTCCGCTTCTCCAGGCACTTTTGCTTGTCAACCTTGATCTTTTCAGTCTGAAGCTGCCTCAGCCATAGCGTAAGAATTCCTGCCCAAACAGATTTACGAGTTTCGACTTTGACGTTCCATTTAATTGGATTTGTGTGCAACAGAAAGACTACCATCTTAAATCTTGCTGTATCCATGTTTTGCTGGAGTCCTCATGGGAAGCACATACAGTAGTTTTAGGTTTTAACTATTTTATTTTGGGCTGGACCTGAAAAATGTTTTCTGTTCCTTCTTCTTAGAAATAGCTAGTAAAGCCTGCAAGCCCGGCTGGCATTATTGAAAGTCTGATCAGGTGTACTCAAACAAATAAACGTTTAGAGTGGACTTTGCCCTCTGGTGGGGCTGTTTCTTCTCTCCACTCCTGTTTATGATTTTTATGGACAGGATATCAAGGTGTAGCTGTAGCTGGAAGAACATGCAGTATGAGGGAGGCGGGTAAGGGGTGAAAACCCTGCCATTTGCAGACATAGGCCTCCAGCAGGTTCTTGGTTGCCAGGTGTGAAGCAGCAGGGATGTGAATCATCCATCCATCCATCCATCCATCTTCTGCAACCGCTTGTCCTATTCAGGGTCATGGGGGTCCAGAGTTTCTCCTAGAGGCTATGGGCACAAGGCAGGGAACAACCCAGGATGGGATGCCAACGCATCACAGGGATGTGAATCAGCATCTCCAAATCCAAAGCTGAGAAAAGAGTCTCCTGTGAGGTGCCAGTGGAGAGGCTGCCTTTGGTGAAGGAGTTTAGAAACCCTGGGATGCTGTTCAATAATAATATAATAATAATTGATACTTTATTGATCCCCGTGGGGAAATTGTTTTTACGCCTCCCTCAACTTGCTCTTTGTAGAGCAAGCTGTCCGCGAAGGGCAGCCACC